CGGCACCGGCCGCCGTGGCTGCTGCCGGGACGCGTTGACGAGAAGCCGGAAGGGCACGCGGGCGGCGCCGCCGGCGTTGGAGGCCTCGCACTCGTACCTGCCGGCGTGCGCCAGCGTGATGTTGGCGAGGAAGAGCATGCCGCTGCCCGTGTCCGAGGTCGCGTGCCTGCCCAGTCCCGGCGCCCCGCCCTCTAGCTGGGCTTGGGCCCGCGGCCGGCCGTCGAGGGGCTGGGGCACCTTTCTCCAGGTCACCAGGGGCTGCGGGTAGCCGGAGGCCTGGCAGGCAACCCGCAGATCCTCACCCGGGTTGGCTGTGAGCTCCAGCGGCTCCACGTGCACAGAGGGTGGAATGCAGATGAGGCTACTGCTGGATACGTCCAGGAGACTTTGAAGGGCCAGGCGCGGGGGCTCTGCGCACATGATCTTCTTGTCCCTGGAGCTGAGCAGCCGCTGGCCCCCCTCCTTGATCCAGGTGCCCAACCAGTGCAGGGCGCAGTCACAGCGCCATGGGTTCTCTGTGGGCAGAGCAGCAGCGGGCAGGTGGTTCGAGGTGGCCTGAGAACACAGCCTGTGCAGTTGGGATTCTGCTGGCCAGGGCCGCAGCCCCTTTCCCACACCCTCCCACGTGGAAGCCAGGATCTCTGTCACCCATTCTCTGACCCCAAACTCCTTGGGATGACAGCAGGCCCTTCACATATATACACCCCGTTTAGCTCTGTGATGTCTGTTCCAGATCACTTCACCAATCTCTGAGAAAGCACCTGCTCTTCTGGAGTCTCCCTGACAGAAGTCCCACTCTTTTAGGGAAACTTGGTTTCCACACACACATATCCCACCAGCCCTGAAACCTGGTCAGCTGTCTCTGCAGTTTTGCCTGCCTGCCCTCTGATGGCCATATAATGTTCCAGGCCCTCAACTCTGTTAAGGCAACCTGTGGACTCCTACTTTTTCTGTTTTCCTTAGGCAGAGTGCCTGAGCTGTACCCCCACCCCCAGCAGCTCTTTACCATGTCTTCAGGTGGTGGTGTGGCCCTCCAGAGTACTGCACAATGGTCTAACGTCGGACCCCTCCGCACCTGAGCCTGCTTCTTACTGCCACCACCGTAGCCAAGGCAGAGACCCTTACCCAAGGAAGAGGTACCTGTGAGGCGCAGGACTTGCAGGCTGGCCAGTGGCTGCAGGACCTCGCGGCTTATGGTGCCCAGCTGGTTCCTGCTGAGGTCCAGCAGCGCCAGGGAGGAGAGCCCAGCCAAAGCCTGGTCCTCCAGCAGCTCAATGCTGTTTTCTTGCAAGTGCAGCTCCTGCAGTCGCTGAAATAGGGACAGCAGATCCATCAGAAAACGGGCCCTGGAAGGACAAGTCCTCTTCTTACCTGTCTAGACTGGGTTAGCGTTTCTCCCCTTAACTACTCCAGCCCGGCAGGGCAAGGGGCATCACAGGGAGCCCCCGCCCTATTTGGTTTCTGGCGCTCACCGGCAGGTGCAAGAAGGTGAAATCCAGCAGCCGCGCCAGCTGGTTGCCCGCCAGGTAGAGAACGCGCAGCTGGGCCAGGCCCGCGAAGGCGCCGCCGCGCAAGCCGAGCAGCCGGTTGCCTGTGAGCGCCAGCTCGAGCAGGCGCGGTTGTGCGCGGAAGGCCCCGGGCTCCAGGGTGCGCAGGCTGTTGTTGTGCAGATAGAGACGGCGCAGGGCGGTGAGCGGCGCCAGGGCGCCTGGCTCCAGGAGCGCGATGCTGTTGTCCTGCAGGAACAGCGTCTGCGGGCCGGGAGGAGGGGGCGCTTACCCCGCGGCGGGGTCTCTCTGTCCCCCGAGGCGCGCCAGCCACCCTCCGGGACGCCCGCGCTCCCCTCCCTCCGTTTCGCGGGCGCTCCCAGGCCGCTGCTCCAGAGCGCGGCCCGACGTCCTCACGCGGAGCCCACCTGCGTCCCTGGCGGGATTCCCGGCGGGACGACGCGC